GTTATAAGCCACTTTGTTTGTACCCATCTCGATCTGTCAGGTCAGGTGAAATGGGGTTTAGCGTCGTATTTCGCTCATATGACTACGTGCATGCGTGTGTTTGTGTGGCTGTACTAGCCCAGCCGGTTTTAATGCTAGCTCAGTGAGATGCCATGCCGCAGTTAAGCATGAATACCCCACTCACACACGTTATATTGACTCCGAGCCGGCTGGTCTTTGGTACCCATTAATGCCGAGCGCCAGGCAGGGACCAACATGTACCATATTTTAACGTCGTTTGGTGGTATGACGCGACCGGGGATCGAACCTGCGACCTTCCGCTCTAACTACTACACCACGGATGCCCAGATTCAATAAATGATTGGTGAAAAATATGTTTCATGTAATGCTAATTATATTCCCAAAAGCTCACTGGGGAAACGCCAACGCTACCATCTACCTGAACAACACTACCAACACCACCACCAACAACTGCTCTACCCTCCCGAGTTCATCCAACACCACCACCAGCCAGACTGACTTGACGTGTAACGGTACAGGCAGATACGTCGCGATCACGAACCTGGGGACAGGGCCTGGAGAAAATGATACACTCAACATCTGTGAGGTGGAGATTTATGGTGAAGATGATGTTATGTTATACGTTTATGCTTTAACCGGCTGTTAACACTTACTCTGATAAACTGACATTTTCATGAAAGTTTTCATTAAAGAGAGACGTTCCGATACCCTTTAATGTCTTGGTCTTGATCCACCAACATGTTGATCGCTTTAACTAGACAAGGGGATGAGAAATTACTGGCTGCAGGTGTCACTGATGCTCAATGCAAATTTCTACATATAATATCCTTTTACTGATGAATAAATAGTTAATCTTTGTTCACAAGCATGTGCAAACATATCACCCTTTGATTATGTTTCAATTTGTTTTTGAGGAACTATATAATCATTTCTCGACGTTAAGAAATCATTGAGTTAGAAAACGTCGGTTTTAATGTGATGTAAATGGTATTATCTTTTGTACTGTTTTCGATTAAGTATTTGATTGTAAAATATGTAAATATAAGTCAAGTAATCATTCACAATTATTCAATGATTAATGTTCCATATTGACTGGTTTTACACACAGAGATAATTTGACATATCTGAAACAACCGAATGACATTGCGTTACGAGGTGACATATTTGATTTATGTCAAACACCTACATGATGGTTTGAATAATGCGTACACTGAACATTATCACCCTTCGAAATATACACTATAGTTCGGAAAATCTGGTAATGGTAATTGTTTCAAAAGGAACATCCTAACTAAAGTTATTCGTTAAACAATGTTTGCAAATAAAAGACTGTTTATTCTTCAGTACGGAAAGAGCCGAGTTCCTGCCTGGACACACATAAGAAAAACAAGATGTATGGACGTCAACTTCTTTATTGTGGATAACATGACGTTTCAAAGTGTATGCTTGCTGCTTCATTAGGTGTATTCCACTTCTAAATGCCTTTCAAAGATATGAAACTCATAACTTATCTTCATGTCTGTGTATGAATTAAGATGAGTCACTTTCCTTCAGATTATTCATATTGTTTTGTACGCGTTTCCTAAATAGTAGCACTGAAAGACATTTTACCTGTTACAGTCTGCAGTCAGAATATCTATGGGAAAGACTGTGATAGTTTCTGTCACTGCCTGGATTCAACCTGTGATCGGTGGACTGGATTGTGTCCTGGAGACTGTAGACCAGGATGGCAGGGGCAGAGATGTGACACAGGTGAGACGTTTCTGCTAGCAGGATTGGTGGGTTCCAGTCAGTGGTACTGGAGACTGTAGATACACATACGGGCCAAGGTATACTCGTCCTATTGTTGACTGTGACCTCAGGTTAGTCATAATTGATGCGAGGGAACAACAAGACTCGAGCTTTCACGGCGCCTCACTTTGGCCTCGTGTCTAGGGGAATGTTAAGTGGTAGATCGACATCACCGCATGACTCGTTTCACACACTTACCCGGGAAGCTTGAAAACTCTAATGCTACATAACTTCATAAATGATAAACTTGATATTTGTCTTTACAGCTTGCAACAACACTACCTATGGCATTAACTGCAACGGAACGTGTACTGGGCGGAAGGGTTCAGCTCCAAATTCGTTATGCGACCATCACACTGGCGCATGTGACACAGGATGTCTATCCGGTTGGACAGGTGCTGATTGCACACAAGGTAAAGAATGTTGAATGTTTATTCGTAAAAATGATAAAGACTTGGGTGGAGGATCTTGGAATTAAACTTGAAATTAAAATAAATACGTTATTCAGAAAGGAAGCCTGTCACACAAAGTGACAGAAGAACATCAGTATATATTAATAACTGTCCAACACATTGCAAGCTCTTCATTTCTTGTTATATACTGAAAGCTGTTAGAAACGCATCACCCATTCTGATGATATAAGTTTTACTGACGTGAATGGTTCGAACCCAAAGATGTGATACAGGTGAGAGTGTGGTTGTGGGTGCCTGATTTTCAGGTTCATGCGGTTAAAACTGGCAATGAATGCACATACATTTGAGGTGTTATTATGTACCTTGAGCAGTTATGTCGTTATTAACTAGTTGTTGCTGAGATGACATCTGCATGGAATACCTTGTTTCTGGTGGACGGAAATAAAATAAACATAAAGGAAAGGTATCGCCAATAAACGTAAGGTTACTGATGGCGACATCCATTGAAGATAATGAAATAACCAACCAATAAACATTAAGCAAGAATGTAGTATAGACTCATTTCCTCCTGACAGCATGTACTGCTGATTCCTATGGCTCCTGTGACAAAGCCAGTGGATGCTGTGCTTGGCATCACATGCATTGTGATGTCAGTGGTGCTGAAAGATGTCCAGTATATATCGCTCTCTATCTATGTATTTATTTATGTGTGTGTGTGTGTGTGTGTGTGTGTGTGTGTGTGTGTGTGTGTGTGTGTGTGTGTGTGTGTGTGTGTGTGTGTGTGTGTGTGTGTGTGTGTGTGTGCAGGTGGCGAAAAGGTAACGTGGATTGATTAGTAGTTAATGACTGAAACTGTTTTAAAAATGCTGGTGAAACCTCTTTACCAAAGTCTTTGCAGCTCCAATATCAGGCACCGATAATGACTTCCTCAATATCACACTTCCACTAATAGTGGTATCTACAGTGGTTGGTGTCCTGGTTGTCCTCTTATTGGTCCTCGTTGTACTCTTAATCAGGTGAGTAGTAGTTACTTCTTTCACGGTCTGTCAACAGGTGGTAGCAACAATACCTGATATCGTGCGGTTATAAATTGATGTACAAAACTGAATTACTTACTTCCACCCAATTAATGCAGTAAATACTTATTCACACCAACTTACTAACGCGCACATCATGTACACAGTATATTGTCCAATTTCCCACTAGGAACCTATCTCCTTCCTACTTACTGAAAGTATCACCATCATCTTTGTAATATGTATAAACCATGTGCAGTGCATTTAATATCTTGTGTTAAATAAATAATAAATAGTTCCACTCACATGGGTCTGAATTAAAAAAATATTATCTATATTTGACCAACCGCATGCATTGCCACAATGAACATATCGCCTGACATAATTTGGAAGGCTGGAGTCGCCTAATTGTACAGAAAGAAGCGTGTTGCTTCGCAGGAAATTTTGAACGATGTCTAAACTATTTAGATGGCGTCGTTACTGACAGGTACCTCGTACCTGAATAAATTTAATAGCATATGTGTATTTATATCTGAACAGTTGTATATCAGAATCGTTTATTATTCTGGTGGTTGAGGGCACTGGTTCCAGGAATCGCGTTCTTGTGCACAATACACCACATCGACCCTTACTGCACATCTGAATCTATTCAAAGTTGTAAATGCTTACCTATTCTCCTACAACAATATAATGAATTAAGAAACACTCATGATACCTACATATCTATCTTCACAGATGGTTCCAAGGATGGTTGCAACTGCCACTATGCGATGTACACATACTTTACAAGAATGCATAAATATATTGAACGTTCAATACAAATGAACAAAACCGGAATCTGTTTTGATAAAAAGTTTGGGGGGAAAACAAGATTTGGAACTCTAAATTTCTTAACTCTTGATAATTAGTATCTTCATTACTTCCACGACAAAGACTTTCACTCTAACTCCAAACAACTCAGAACACATTTAGATATAATAACCAACATACCTAACGCCGAAATGATGTCTAGTCAAATTAGGTTGAAACGTTAATCAGTGTTATCTTGACGGATTGGAGCAAGGGACGTTTTGCCCATAGCATTGACATACAAGAGACTCCTTCCTGGTGAAAATATGTTAACCTTTATCAGTTTAATGTCTTAGGCTTTTAAGATTTTGAACTTTGGTTAATATTTCTTTTTGGCAGCCATTCACGGATTGTATATTCGGGGTTACCTTTCATACAGATATTCCAAAACATTTAAGATTTATGTTTATGCTTTGTAGAAGACGCGGAAAGCGAAAAGAGAGCGCACGAGACAAGCCCCACACAGACAAGCCTGTAAAAAGAAGGGTTAGTGAAGGTAGGTTTAATCATTCCTTCTTATCATTTTCGCTGCAACATGCACAGTGAATGAGCAATATCTAGCCTCAAATAACCTCATTTGAAGACTATAAATATTGCTTTCATGGCACTCTGATGTTATTTCGCGCTAGATTCTCAATATTCCTCTTACGACAAACATTGCAGTCATTTTCAGTCCAAATTCAGTTTTCAAAGTTTATGCTGGGTGTCGCCAGTCATGCATCGGGGGTGTTCCATGTCCTGTTCCATTAAATGGTTTAATAATCATGACATATGTTTACTTCAGTGAATGACAGCTGTAAGTACGTGAATCTTAGCTTCGAAAAAGAAGAAACAGCAGGGCAGTCGTCCACAGAAAATCCAAAAGACAGAGCATTGGTAGGTATCCAATCGACGTCTTAACGGGATGTCTATACGACTGTTCACAAGAAATCAGCTAGAAGTGGTACACAAGAGTTTGGTCTGAAGCGTGAGGTCCCCCGGGAGACTCAAGAGGAGGACAATAATGTCATTGTCCTGCCTGTACAGGTTGAGGACACACCAGATGTCCCTGGCAGGAACTACTACAATACTGGCAATGCTGGACACCGCCAAGTGATTCCCTTGACACAGCCTCAGACAATAGATGAGCAAATGAAATCAACAGTAGAAGAATTTTATGTAAGTTGTGTCCAGTGTTGTTTGTTCTGCTTAAATGGATGCAAGATACACTTACACTCATACTGCATCTTTCTCTTGCTTCACACTGAACTCATACCTTTTCAACAAGGAAATGTGTAATTGTTTCAGCGACTACCGGAGGGTTTCGTCCATTCCTATAGCGAATCCCAACATCCTAGAAACAAAGGGAAAAACAGGTTCAAAGGATATTACCCATGTGAGTACATTTTGCAGAGGAGGGGTGGAAGCGAATGCTAAGATTTGCCATGTAATCAGTCTGACATTGCTAAAAAAATCGACGTCATTATTTTATCAAATAGATGACTACAACCGCGTGGTGTTGCACGACGGCAGTGAGAGCACAAGAGGAGACTACATCAACGCCAGCTACATTGACGTGAGTTTTTTGCCCAAATTCAGCATGACGACCTGAACTGCAATTAAAACCCTTAACTTTTATGTAACAAAGAACTTAATACCCTATCATAATAATTTTATTATTTTCTGTTTAAATAATACATGTGTGAGCTGTAATTTCTCAGTCTATATGTTTATGTTACACAGACACATAGACACATGTATGCGAGCAACATGGGGACTCGCTTATATCGTACAGCTATTATGATAAAGTATGTGAGTATATGTGAGCGTATAAAGCATAAATAAAACAAAGAGGTAAAGGTCTGAACCATTTCTTGTAATGACATAAAACACGTTTTTTCCAGGGTTATAAAGCAGAGAAACGTTACATTGCAGCACAAGGTAACTCTTCACCAGAACAAAAGGTCTCCTAAATACAATTTGTCACAGTTAAAATTGATAAAATCTTCATGGCAAATTAGCTGGTTCAAATCAGTACAAGGGAATAGTGATACCCCTTTTGATATGTTTTTTAAAGGTGGCTTTATGTAGTTATCTGTATAGTATCCAGCATAGTCATATGAAGTTTCCATTAGGTCCCTACAGACCAGAAGTCGTGGTGGATTTCTGGAGGATGATCTACAAGGAGCATTGTGCAACAGTTGTCATGTTGACGGAGCTTGTTGAGACAGGGAAGGTAATAAGGTTATCCTTTCTTGTGGCAGAAAAGGAAACAAAACATCCATTGGAAAAAAATGACAAGGCTCAAAGACATAGATTAAACATTGTTACTGTTAGAGTATTATGTGATGGTTGATTCTCCAATGTATGAATTTCCCCTAATATTATGCTACAGACTAACTTCCCGAAACCAGAGTGAATGGTGTCGATATGTGTAATATCCCCCTGTTACTGTTGCAGATGAAGTGTCTTCAGTACTGGCCTAAGCAAGGCTCCCTCCAATTTGGTGACATTACAGTTACCATGGAGACAGAAGCAGGCCTCGCAAACTACAAAATCACCAAACTGTCCCTTCAGAATGAAAAGGTATAGAAGATGTTTGATCATCCCAGCATTTGACGTTGTGGCATGTCATTGAGTGTTTTCTTATTGAACCGCCGTGATATTGCTGGAACATTGCTAAAAGCGGCGTAAAACCCATCTCACTCACTCTCCTATTGAAAACGCGAATTAATGTAAATCGTGATATGTTTACCACTGTAGAAAAACAACGAAAAACACATCGATTGTGATGCAGGGGTATTGATGTGACAAGCCTTATTTCAGTATTTGTAATTGTTCTGATAAAAGTTTGTTATAAGAGTTTCATTGTATTGTACAGCACAAATACATTCTTAAATACTATCAACAACTATTACGAAATAAACTAGGAAGCCAAGGTTCGACATCTCAACCACTTTCAATTCACGGGCTGGCCGGATAATGACGCACCAGACACTTCCGCCTTTCTGGAGTTTATGTGGAGAGTCAAGGGCAGTTCCGGCGGGCTAGAACACCCGATCGTTATTCATTGCAGGTACGTGGTTTGTCTGATCATACACGTGCATGTATATTGACTGGTATCAAAAAGATGGCAGCAACCAGTAACCAGATATAGCTATTCGCATTTACTTTACTGAACAGCCACGGCGCATGTTATGTATTGTTGTTGTTTTTTAAAAAACACACAGGAATTTATACCAGTGGCTCCATTAAGTGCTGTAATTGAGTGAATGGTAACTTTCTTCATGGTATCGGCCCCAGTTGATCATGACCTAGTTTCGAGAAGCGATTTTCGTCACTGTTTAAATTCACTATTGCTAAAAGAATTGACTTTCACACATATTACGCACTGCCGTCTTTAACATTGATCGTTAAACATAAGATTATATTTTATAAGTTTTTTTGGTACATTTTTATCCATAACAACGGTACAACGGTTCTAGTTATTCACCCGACATTGTCTTAATTATGTAATGAATGTGTCTGCTTCTTTGATAAATGACATCAATAATAAGCTATTTCTAAAAGCATTTCCCTTGACATTGTTTCTTCGTGCACATAAATTTTGCAGAAATGCAAATGCCATTGGACTGATTAAAAAGTGAACTAAAATTAACATTTGGACAATGAATTACACACTATATTTTACACATACAAAGGACTGCGGGAATCTAATGACTAATTCGCATGTTAGATGTTACTGGATGTGTCCCATATATTATGACTGCTTCCTTTGTTTTGCCAGTGCTGGTGTTGGACGGACCGGGACGTATATCGCTATAGAGAGTCTAGTGGAACAGGTAGCGGTAGAAAGCAAAGCTGACGTCGTCAGCTTCATCTCCAGCATGAGAGGCCAAAGGAAGAACATGATACGGACCAAGGTGAGTACACCACCAACACACTGTGCAGTGCATATGTTATCTATCCTGGCTTCCTGACATCATTTTCTCTTCGTCTAACACCAGGAGCAGTACATGTTCCTGCACCAGGTCGTGGACATGGCGGTGTCAGAAGGGGACACCTCATTGGACTCGGACATGATCATACAGACTGATCTCAGTCACGTGTCTGAGGTTACCATGGGCAACAAGAATGTACAGCAACACCTTGAGGTGGGTCAACTCAAGAATATTTTCTTGTTTGTTTATTGTTTATTATTGTTTAACGCCGCACTCAGCAATATTCCAGCTATATAACAACGGTCTCCAAATAGTTGAGTCTGGACCAGACAATGCAGTGGCCATCAACCTGAGCATAGATATGTCCAACTGGGATACGATGACATGTGTCAACCAAGTCAGCGAGCCTGACCACCCGATCCCTCTTACGATAAGCTTTGGTTTGCACGGGTACAAATGCAGAACAACTAAACTTGGCTGAAATAAACTGCATTTACATGAAGGTGACCATGAATCGACATTCGCAAATGGGTTGGAATACAAAGATTGTTATGATATTTGTTTGCAGGTATTGGAAAAAGAAAGTGAAGGTAATTGCATTTATCGATTTTCTTTTTTTTTTTCCTGTTTTCCACAATTTCTTAAAATTTAAACTCAAATCGGTTAATGAACAAGCATCTTATTTCGATAAAAAATATGTATGTAGTTGAATTTCACCATGAACATTGTATTTCAGAAGGGTTTAAAAGAGATCCAGTTACCACATTATCAGTGAGTATAGCATCCTGTATAACTCAGCCGACAACAATTCATTTTACTGTTCGCCCTCTCGATTAAAGGCACCTTATGTTTTTCCATACTTCTATGTTTCTGTTTGCGTCCGATATATACATGGACTCATTTTCATTGTTTTTGCAGTCACACAAATCCAAGAATGGTTTCGTCGTTTTGTCGAGTCAAGACAAGGAGGAAGAGTGGAGTCAAGTGTATAAAAGTGATTCCCGCATTTTGATCACTTGGGCTGCAGACAAACCGGTACGGAAATTTCACGTGTTTAGGGGAGAAAGAGAACTTTTTCTGTACCTTCTTATTGTTTCTGTCAGCGCATATCAATGGACACACATGTTTTTCCTTAAAATATTTCTAATGTCAATAATAATTAACAATTAAACTCTATCCAGGTGTACCTTCCCTCAAACGACAGTCCCATCACAACAGCAAGGATTGAAGCGTGTATGCGCGGTTCTACAGTAATACCTGATGATGTTCTCCTCAACACCGTTGAACTTACAGCAGAGGTATAATTACATTATACTTTTAAAGCAAGCTTTCCATCAAGTGCTTGAAGATATTATTTGAATAGAACACAGAAACCCGTGAAGATCCGGATTAGAACTTGCCTTGAGCAAATCATGTTTGCCGTAAAGGTGATTAACAGTGGGCAGGCCCTCTGACTTGGTTCATGTATATAATCGATGTCAATCACTGGATTTTATGTCCATACATTATTCTACGATGGCTACGTGAAATACTCGAATTTGATTGGACAATCAAGAAAGGTAGACACCAGCAATCCTGGATTGAAAATGCGTCTGATTTCATGACCGCTTCACTGCACACTTATACAACACTGTTGCATTAATTAAGCTTGGCCACCAACATAATATCAACACAACAGACGTGACTGGAATTCTCATAAAACATTTCTTAAACTCTAAAAAACATTATATGATTTTTCGTCCACAATTATTAGGGAACCTCACTATCTCATTACCTGTTATTATAAAATTTTTCAAATTCAATTACAATGCACAGCCCCAAACATAGACAACAATATATCACTTATAAATCAGAAAGGCCTTTTAAAAATACATCCCCATCTATACAAAATTTGCAGTAGAACGTTAGTAAACATTTGCCTACCTTGTAAGTGGTATATTTTTTTCCGTGTAGAATGAGAAATTCGCAAGATAACTGTCAGGCGAAACACAGTGGACCTGACCTGTATAAGGTTCGGCTTCGAATGAAATTTAGAGACTATCAATTTTGTCTAACATTCTTCTAATTTCCAAACACAGTACACTAATTATTTACTGCCCGCCATCATGTCGCTGAGTGCGGCGTTAAACACATGTACATATAGCGGTCGTACGATTACACTACTAATAACCCTTTGAGGGGTTAATCTATGAATATGTTATGGCAAAATCTATACAAAACACACTCCATTACCAAGAACATAAGGAGCGGCGGGGTAGCCTAGTGGTTAAGGCGTTCGCTCGTCACGCTGAAGACCCGGGTTCGATGCCCCAGATGGGCACAATGTGTGAAGCTCTTTTCTGGTGTCCCCCGCCGTAATATTGCAGGAATATTGCTAAAGGCGGCGTAAAACTAAACTCATTCACTCACTCACTAAGAACATTAACCTTTCATGATTTATAGCTATTGAGTAAATAAAGAGATGTATGAGTTCTTTGTTGTGAATATAAGAAACACGACAACTCCAGTGTTGATACGAAACCCCAGCTAAGTCCCTTGGAGAATTCCCGCCATATCAGAAGTGTGTGCGATGGCCACTATCACCTTAAGCTTGAAATGGCACCGGGTGCCCATGAAAAGATGAGTATATTTGGCAGCAGTGATAGCTGCCATAACAAAAACACGCAAAGCCAGGTCAATTGTTTATAATTACGAAACCCCAGCTAAATGTCGAGTCTGTTGGACGATTCCCGCCATATCAGAGGTGTGTAATAACTATCACCTTGTGGTGACACCCAGAGCTCACAGACGAGCGTAGTTTACACCTGTGATAGCTGCCGTCACTAAAACACGCAAAGTCAGGTCAGTTGTTTATAAAAACAGATCGTAGCTAGAAGTCCATCTGGACAATGGATCAGGTTACTGCCTGAGGTATCATAATCCTGTGATATCAGAAAGGAGAAGCGACAAATAATCTAGAACGTGACAGAATTGTTTCAAAATAAACTGCTTTTCTGTTTCAGGATGCTGATGGCTCAGCTCTCATTCAACACTATCACTTGACCGGAAGTATACGTAACCAAAGTGTGAATCTGCTGATTGACAGTTTACTGACACGGTTGAATGACCAACAGCAATGCTCTTGTACAGTGGTTTCTCAGTAAGTGATCTGTTATACTTCCCCCTTCCCTTGCATTTGAGTCAGTACATATAAAAAAAATTGCATTAGACCAGTGACACTACTTGCATATACAATAACACAAATATCCTTGTCACTTTATTCACATACTCAAACCAACATGACAAAGAATTCCAAAAATATATAATTCAAGAATTGCGAACAATCGATTCATTTAATCTGAGGACTTTCATATAGAATCATATAGCCGCCATTATTTAGTTTGTCATACTTTCTGTGTTCACATTTCTTTCTCAAGTGTAACAGGTATAGGTGTTCCCCGCATATACAACTTTCATGAAACAAATAGTTGTTGCATTTGCAGCAGTGGCCTTCCCAAACTAAGCACACAGTCTTCTTCGGAGTAATTGCATGCTCGCTATGTACATTTTGTGTTGGAATTGATGGTCCTACGTAGGCAGTTTGATGCTACAACAACAACAAAATGACTATTTGAATCTATCTACTATCTAAATGACTACAAGCTCATGGTCTCATACGTTATGTTTTGCATCACAGATTCCTTAGTCAACTTCCACATTTGTATGTGACATCATCGGGTGTGCATGTGAGTTTTCTATTGGAAAAGCCCTCTTAATATGTGCTCATGTGTGAGAGCGCTGGCACTTAAATAACTCGTTGAGTATGTCTGGATTCCTGACCTCTTGTATGTTTATGTGAGCTACAAGTGCCAGTTCAGTTTACCTCTTTGACCATGTCTGGGCCTCTAACTTCTAATGTTAGTGTGTACCGACACTTTACTGCAGCTCAGTGGGTGAGGCCCGTCTCCTGATCCTTCTGATGAACATCGCCAGCAGACTGATGGACGACGGCCGGGTGGACGTCATCAGAAACATGAGACGTCTGCAATCAAGTCTCGGTGGACCCCCTTTCGGGGAGGTATGACAAAATACCAGTCTTGTAGATTTGGATATTATGAAAGATCCGCCTCTGCCACAACCCCTTGCCTTATATGTGCAGTGTTTTGGCTAGCAATATACATTGTATTTAAGTATTCGACTATTATCTGAAAAGTTTGATACAGATGACGATACAGCTAGCGATTTATGACAGCTAATCTTATGACAAAAGATTATAATGAGTTGACATATCACTTAAGAGACTTAGAATAATAACTGCACGTTTTCGCAATAGCCTCAATTTGACTAGCTGCATCATTTTACTCCAGACATAATGCGATGGCTTCTTTTGCAGGAGGATGTCTGCCTATGTCTGGAGTTCGCCCAGCGACGACTGGAATCTTCAGTTTCTGTCAACGTATAAAAACATCATCACCTTGAATAGATGTTTAATTTCAACATAGCTTATATGCTTTTTACTGAACATTGAGCTAAGTTTTACATGATAAATGTTAATTGTTGTAAAGTTCCAAATTATATGAATGCCATTCTTCAATGGCAAAGCATGGAGTTAAACTGAAAGTAGTGGTTTGGGTTGCATCAGTTCAGTTTGTGAAGTTGGTTGTTGATTTAAAGTTAAAAAATGAACTTATCGGCTTTAGGGTGTCTCTGTATGAACTCCGAAATCGAAGTACTGCACACACATCTCTCTCTCTCTCTCTCCTCTCTCTCACTCTCTCTCTCTCTCTCTCTCTCTCTCTCTCTCTCTTAATGTCTCTCTCTCTCACCACGTGGCTAATATCTAAGGAAGGTAACCTATGTAACAAATATACTTATGATTATGATTTTCATATACTCCTATACTATGAACAACTTAACATTTAAACCAATTTTTGTGTGTTATGATTGACATTCTTGATGTGGACACCTATGTTTCCTTTGAGTGATAAAACCACACACACATCTGCTTGCATAAGTGAAATAATCATGAATGAGAAGTAAAACGTTACATTCAGCTCACCTTCTAATTGACAATATCCTTAAAACTAAGCAGAACATCGCCTATCCTCAGCGATAAGCCTGTAAAATGCTTTAAGGCCCGGTGACGAAGTTTATTCTGATTTCTATGTTCAAACGTTCAGCATGGCTTCATCTTATCTGCGTAGCTATCTTTGCATAGTACATACGAAACAGAATTAATATTCATGTGTAATTTATCTTTAGTTTCCTTTTAAATAACTTTACGCTTGTACGCATAGACATAAACAAGATATTGACGGTGAAGTGCTTTGCCACACTCTAGATCTTTATGGGACAAAGAGTGGTGAGGTAACCAGTAGCTTTTGTGTAATGTCAAAGTGTAGAGCTACGTACCAGGAAGCTATCGATGCTGCTCTTTGATCGTTTCTACGACACTTAAAATATTGATTTACGACTGTCGCTTAGTGGAATGAAGTTTTGCTCCTTAGAAGTATATTATCACTTCTGGTCATCAGTAATCTTTATTCCATTTTCACTTTAAAAACCTATCATGGACAAATGACCACTGTTGTAGATAAAATCGTCACATACCTTATTGCTATTACCACTGTTTGCGTTTTTAAACAGTGCCACTGTAAATATTTTTAAATTGCTATTGATCTGTAAACCTAGTTAATTTAATATCGCAACTGCTAATTGTTTAACATTTTGTGGTTGTGGTTTGGTTTAAAAATGAATGTCTTTGCAAAGAGATATCTGCTTTCACTTAATATTTCGATTCTGTGAAATTGAGACACACGTATACTTCAACAACAACATTGTCAAAGGTTAGCTTTGATCGTCATTGTACACATTTAGAGTGGCCTCCCTTTAACCTCGACGAGGTTTCGTGAGCCAGAGGATCTTCGGAATGTGTTAATATTGTCTTGTATAGATAAACGTTTACGAAAATATGTTTCTGAAGGTAACTGAAAGCCAAAAGAATACACAAATGTATAAACTGGTTTGGTTTGAGAGCAAAGTTTACCTATATATGAAATAAGCAGCCATATGCATTCAAACTGGAGTCTTGTATTCATATTTCATCGGTAATAACTTAGACATTTGACATTCACGTGAGGTTTTGATGCAATGCTACACTCGTCCTTCATATATTTCATTGTGTAGGTTAGAAACGGTACCGTACTATAACAGGCCGTGTAGCATACCACCAAATCCAGCCACATTTAACCAATACATCAGAAACTACTGATCTCTCATACAATGACAAATCAGACAAATCAGTCGAAATAAGAATTATTTCACTGAGGGAGGAACTTCTTAAAAAGATGCCTACTGACACCATTATCAATTCAAACAATACAAGTATGGTGACCTACAATGTACCTCCAGTTGCTGGTGATCTCAAGTCCGTTTTTATATATTGTATTCTTCATAAAATATGTTTAATTTTACAGTTACATGCTGGTTTTAATTCTCTATCTGTGATAATCTAGTTACTTTACTGTCCTTCGTCGACAGTGTTTTAATTTAATTGCATTTATTGTGAATTTGTAATTTGTTAAAGTCGCGGTATGGCTGAAATATTGCAGATGTGACTAAATCTTAACTCACTCACTTACTCACTCCAAAATGAATGCGCATTTACATACTATGATAAAACACAGTTATGGAGAACAAAACTGATACCAAAAGACACGCTAATAACGTTCGACTGTGGTTACAGGAGGCTAAATTTGATAACAAGTTTCAATGTAGATCAGGTTATCTTCATTTGGCAGATTACATGAAAAGAGTCGAAGCTCCATTCACAACATGTCATGTGTAGAGTCTAAGGTGGCTTATAATCAAAATGGCGGGTCAACGCCACAACGTACGACGTTTCTTTTTTGCAGTGTTATAGACTAAATCATCACTTCATTCTTAGGTGTTTGTGAAATCCAGATGAAAACCAGGGGTCATGTTTCTTCGTGACTCTCTCAGCCTTTTTGGTATTGACAGACATCTTGTCCTGCTTAATCGTGGATCCGCGTTGTCTTAAATGAGATTCTGATGACATTGATATACACAATGACACTTACAAAGTAAATTTGAGAATTTAAACTTAGAAAACTTGGACGATGCAAACATGTCATTGTGATCTTCATTATACCTATACAGCTATGAATCATATGGATGGTGCTGTACATGTGACATTTTCTTCTTCGGAAGATTAGTACAGTATTCAATGAGTGCACCGGAAGATTTCCAATGGGTGTATTTAAGTAGTTCATAATACACCTACGGCATAAACTACTATTAATGTGATTTGGTTTGGTTGTTGTTTAACGCCGGCCCAAGCAATATTCCAGCTGTACATAATCGAGTCTGGACCAGACAATCCAGTGATTATCAGCATGAGCATCCATTTAAGCAATTTGGATACGATGACATGTGTCAACCAAGTCAGCGAGTCTGATCACCCGATCCCGTTAGTCGCCTCTGACGACAAACATGGGTTACTGAAGACCAATTCTAACCCGGACCTACGTAGGTTGCTATTAATGTGAAGAGCTGCAGATATTGGTACATCAAGACATACGGTCCAATGTCTGGATGCAAGCAGCGTTCATGATTGATACAGGAATATTCGTGGATAAAGAAGAACGTAGGCAAACTCGAAGTTTGTGATTAGGTTAATATGTCTTGATATATGATACGAATATAATGACAAAAAACATATAACAGCTGTCCTGCAGGAAGTGAATTGATTCAACCTTGTGAAACAGGCGCCAGCTCTGACATCTCCGATATGTCAACTCAAGTTTCATATGCATCGCTTGTCATGATGTACCATTTATCCGTACTTGACATGCTTCGTTTCTCTGGTTCAAAATACGGTACTATCTCCTGGATTCACAATACACCGTAGTCCAACATGGGTTGGTTCTACAGGGTTGTACATAAAGTGGATCTCCCCGGGCTATACGTGGAGAGGAATGCTGTTTATTAGAATACACTGTACCCGGATGGGTTTCCTCTTTGCTCGAAGTGTTTTCTCTGTGTTGACATTGTATATACGTAGAGGAATTCCCTGATAGAGTGGTTCTGTCTGATTGTGACCGAAGTGAGGAGATTCAATAAAGTGGATCTTCCGAGTTCCACTTGAAGTGAAGTGGCTCACTTACAATATACAGCACACTGAGATGCGTGTAAAATGAATGGATAGTATTCGTTTACACTAGATGATGTAATGAGATGAAATGACACATGACCAGGGTGAGCTGAAACACTGTCTCTCTCTCGCTCTCTCTCACACACACACAAACACACACACACAGACACACACACACACACACACACACACACAAACAAACACACAGAGAGACACACACACAGACACACACACACACATAACCTGAGCAAGCTGAAATAGACACAAATAATATTTGTTTATCAGGTTTTAAACGGACCAAATAAGACTCTCTGTATTTACATATGAATATATGCCATCAAAATCTAACATTGTTTCATACCCCCTTTTGGTTGGAGTAAAGTCCACAATCACCACCTCATGGTTACTACTTACATGCATCACCGATATTCAGATCAAATAAATGCCCCTAGTAGATCACATAAATGCCCCTAGTAGATCACATAAATGCCCCTAGTAGATCACATAAATATGTATGTTTCCCTTGTTAGTCATTGAATCATTGATGCGAACATGATGTCATCTGTATTAACCTCGGTTCGTACTTCCTGATTCAAGTCAAGATACGGCGTTGTGTCAGGAAACTGTCGTCGTGGATATCCTATTTTCTTGATGTTCTGGTGTGGGGCACAGCAATACAGTGACTATGTCCAGTATGTCAACACTTAAACTGGCAAGGGCTGATTGTGGTTCAAATTATAACCAGAGATCACAGTATTTACTGTGCCGTGTGGCAAGCCGTTTCCACATTTATTAAGACATTACGCATATCTTCAATTGTTTTGAAGGTATCTATGTTCTAACTAAATACATCACTAATGCTTTAACGATATCGGTAAATAATTATGTTCAAGATATGTTCAATTAATTTCTGATATCCAAATACTGTTACTGATACCTCAAAATGTTATAGAGGTATCAATAACAAATTTTATGATATCTCTAAATGTGTTTACGATATATAAAAATCCCAATTACGACCATAGTGTATATAATTGTATTAGAAATTAATTCAAGATATCTTCAAATCGAGTTATCTTGAACAATGTAAACATATCCACAAATCCATTATACATGTCTCCGATTCAAATCAAGATATCTTCAGTTCAGTTCAAATCGAGATATCTCTTTTCATTCAAGAGTTAAGATATCAGTATTTCTTACTAAATGTAGTGCGCTTGCCATAGTGCCGAACATATACAGTGTACAGTGTTGAATGTGTTTATTAAGCCGTATATATAACCTGTACAGTTTTGATTGTGTTTATTGTGCCGTAAAAACTGAGTCAAAAAAGAAACTTCACATTCTTTCTTCAGGGCACTATATAGTAACAAGAGATGGTAAGATGGTTAAATTGTTATTATTTCATTGCTGAGATCTGTGTGATGTACTCAATACACTGACAGTGCCATAATCAGTTCCATTAGGCTACACCGCCGTTCCAAAACATGAGTATACAGAATGTCAAGTCACAAGAATAAAAATGAGAAATATCTCAGTTCAATATCGTGTATGGCCGCCCCGCTCATTCACCACTGCCAAACACCGTCTCCTCATCGACTGCCTGATGCTTGTGTACACGTGGTTGGGGATTCTGCGCCATTGCTCTTGCAAGGCAGCGCCAAGTTCCTGCAAATTCTGAGGTTGGTTCCTCACACCACGAAACCTTCTCCCGCGTGCATCCCAAACGTGCTGTATTGGATTAAGTTAGGGGACCTCGATGGCCAGTCCATGACGTTGATTCCAGCGTTTTGAAGGAAATTTCGTGTCAACATCGCGGTATGCAGGCCGAGCATTATCATGCTGGAACTGTAGACCTGGGCCATGAGCCGCCATGAAAGGAACGAGTTCATGGGAGAGCACCTGGTCGAGGTAAGCAGCAGCTGTGAGGTTTCCACGGATGACCAGAAGTCACCCCACACCGTGCAACTTCCGCCCCCGAATCTGTCGACTTCCTGTACACAACATTGGGAATACCGTTCACGACGTCGTCTCCAGACTCTATGCCTGCCGTCCGCGAATCTGAGGGTAAACCTGGATTCATCGCTAAAGACGACTCGATTCCAGTCTCTCTGGATCCATCGGAGGTGACGTTGGGCCCTAAGCAGACGTTGACGTTGATGAAACGGCGTCAATATTGGCCCACGATATGGACGTCGAGAATGGAGATTGGCAGCCCGCAACTGTGAGGACAGTCGACCTCTAAACATCTCAGCCCTGGTTCGTGTAGCCGGCAGAAATCTGTTCCGTAGGTGACGTAGGACGATTTGACGGTCTTCTGCTCGTGACGTCACACGTGGACGACCCGACCTCGGGCGATCAGAAGTGGTGCCAGTTTGTTGTAGACGACCTCGCAAGTCATACACAGTACGACGGCTGCATCCCATTGCTCTTGCGACGTCAATAACTGATCTTCCCGCTTGCAACATGCCAACGGCACGTTCACGTTGCACATTTGACAATCGTGGCGTTAGTACCGTTAGAACTGTGGTTTAAAAGTGTTTATTCAAATCTTGAGGCCAATGCTAACACTCGCATATGAAGAAAACTTCGATGCGAAGATCACGTGATCGACTGCACATGCAAAACCTGATTTGGCACTAACGTCATTTGCACGACGAATGGATGGGTTTGAGTGGGTTTTGCTAACGTTTTTCTAGAGTCGAAAGATAGGGATCCCATTTCGGAAACATAGATGTATCATCAGAGAAAAATTCTTCATTATTTTTCAAATTACATTTTGTGAAGTTTCTTTTTTGACTCAGTATATATATAACGTGTACAGTGTTGGCTGCTGTACATATAATTGGGAGTGAGTGAGTGAGTGAGTTAATATTTAACGTCACATCGGCAATATTTCAGCCATATAGTGACGAGAAATGTTTTATATAAATAATAAATTAAAGCTGCTAAAGAATCAGTAAGCGAAGGACTGTAATATAACAAGGGTATCACAGATGGAGTCTAAATCTAGCATGAACATGTAAAACTATTTTATTTACGAAGACAATACAATATAAAAACGGGCTTTTGCTACCTCTGTACATATAACGTGTGTTTATTTAAAGTGTTGTTTTTTTAAGAAATACAGTTCGCTCTACCACCATGTATAGTGTAATAAAGCACACTTTCGCCCTGAACTATTATAGTTAAAGTACGAGGACGCTTGCGCCCGAGTGCTTTAACGTTATAATAGTTCAGGGAGGGTAATACGGTGTGATGTACGCCTTTTTATAGCAGTGTTACCCGACAAGCTTACTCTGGCAA